CCCCAAAACCCCAAAACCCCAAAACCCCATCTCTCATACTTTTAGTTGAATTATTCTTTTTCACAATATTTTCAATTTCATATTTAAAAATACTTAAGCTTTGTATCTCACGCGCTTGAATAAAGAAGTTAATTAATCATTTTTAACAGAGAACATCTCTTTCACTATTTTAAATTTCATAATCTTTTCAAACCCATGTGGATCAGCTTTATTTGCTTTCTCATTTAAGTCCTGAGTCATTTTAATTTCCAATCTCTAGGAATTTAAGAACTTCACCAAGGTCTGTCTCAATCCCTACCTTTGATGCCATATTTTAGCATAATTTGAATCAGGAACAATAATAGCTCCAAGATAACTTATCGTGCTTATTCCATGGACAAAAATTTGAGCAATAAATTGAATTTTTTGTTGTAGATATTCTCTAACTTCGCTGGGGAGTAATATTCACCCTGAAACAATTTGAAATTTTTTCTTTCTATCTATCAATAAGTTTAACAGATCCATTAGGTCTAATATCTGCAACATTTCCTGTATGAAGCCACCATCTTCGACAAAGGCTTCTTTATTCTTTTCTTAATTTTTGTAGAACTCCTGAAAACTACAGGCCCTTTAATACAAGGTCCTCTTCTAGGCAATGGTTCATCAGTATGTAAATATTCCATACTTGGAATATCTTGTAACTTAAGCTTTGTTCAAGAAATTGGTCCTCCAATATGGCCAGTTGTATTATCTTCAAGTCAAGTTAATAAATTAGGAGCACTCATTTCAGTTTGCCCATATCCTCCAAAGATTGGATGCAGAAGCTACATTTTAAACTATCTAAAATTTCAGAAGAGATAGGAGCTGATCCAGTGACCATTAATCTCATTCTCTCACCAATTATTGCTTTGCGATTTTTAAGAATAACAGAGTCCCACAATGTATGAGCGAACTTGCATTAATTTTTTATTTTCAAGTTTTTTTGCTTTACAGCAACCTTGTATAGCTTATTTATATGATCATTGATCATGCTGAGATATGATCAAATTGATGCTATCATCGCTTTGTAAGAACTCTGGGAACTGCATCCATTACTGTTAGTTTTAAGATTTGAATATCTTTTATTAGTGTCAAAGGGTTTCCATTGCAATATCCTATAGCAACCCCTCTCCACAGTCATGCAGCTATAAATTATTTTTAGTATGAATGAGCTAATAGAAGGTAAGAAATAACAACATCATTCTCATTCATTTTTAATCTAGCATCTTCTTCTCCTCCGATATTTGCTGTATAGTTTTCTATGACTAATCATTCATATCTTTGGGACACAGGTTGTTCTACTAGTAAAGCAGACATTATCAATTGTTTCTGGAGTTGGCTTAGTCATTTCTCCTAAAATTTGATCTCTATTGCTTCTTCTTTCTGAACAACATTGTTAAATAAGTGAATCTTAATGCCTGACTTTCCTAATTCTTTTATTTTTTCTTCTACACCATCCAATGTAATAAGTTGCTTAATAGTCATTACATTGGCTTTCTTATAAAGATTTAAGGTCTTTTTCAAAGAAGGCTTATCTCATGCAATTGTTTCAAGCTCGGTATGGCAAATTGCATATCAAAGTGATTCTACACCAAGAGTATTATAAAGAGATACAACCGTCCCTGAGAAATGAACTCAAACCCAATTGATCAATACCCACTCAGGTCGATTTCTTGAGTAGATTTCAACAAACCCCAGAAATTTTTCATTGTACTCTACTTTTGTCACTGAATCTTCTGAATAAAAACTTTAGGAATGCATTTAGCTTCATTAAGAGATTCTTTATAAGTTCTCCATACATATTTGTCTCCTTCAATATGGCCTAAGCAATTTTCAGGAAAAGATTCTGCTGCTTTATTCTATCCTTCAAGTAAAGTTGTTCCATCATCATGAAGGATTTCGCTCAATGTATAATCATTCTCAATGCACAATTGTGGATATAAGACCTGAGTACAATCTAACTATTTCTCTTCTTCCTTAAAAGGTTCATATAGAATTTCAGATTGCATGCTTTAACTGTATTATTCAATAATTTTCCATTTTAGATGAAGTAGAAGTAATATCACTTTAATAAACTGTTAAAGGGGCTAAACTAACTATAAAATTAGTAGCTTCATTTTATACTCAATCAGTAATTTCTCTTAATATAAATTAAATCTTGAGGTAACTCTTAAAAGGAAGTTTTAGATCATATAGCTTAACAATTTTCCACAAAAAATAAGCTATGACAACATTTCATTGAAAATAAAATTTTGAACCTTTTCAGCTGATTAAAAATGTTCTAATATCTATGCATTGATTGGGTAGATTCTTGGTTAACTAAAAATATACATCAAAGTATTCGATTAGTTCTTTGGTTCTAGATAGACATTGAAAATAAAGATCTTTTATATATTTTCTTATCAAGAGGAAGATACGTGTGAGAGTATAGGTTTATTTGTTCAAAAGCGAAAATGTCTCTTTCCTTCTCTTCCTATCATACGTCTGATCTCTATTTTTTAAGTTAGACAACCTTTGTATAAACGCAAAGCCTTTTAGGTTAAAATATTGACGAAAAGGAAAGAAAATTAAAGGAATAAAATAATATCACAGTTGATACTAATCTAAGTCTTTACATGTGAGATTTGAGTTTCAGCAGTTTTGGGTCTTTCAGAGAGTCCATATGCACTTTGATTTGCTTCTTTTCAATTTTTCTGTTCAGAATTCTGAGTTCCTTCTTATAATCAAAGGTTACTCCTTCGTCTTTCTTGATCTTGTGATTCAATTCTTTAATTTTTGATGGAAGCTCTATTAAAAATAATTAGATCATTGAGGGTGCCAAAATTTCATAAAATTTGATTAAAATCGAACACTTACTAATTGCATCAACATTTTCTTTTAATTTCTTTTCCATCTATAGTAGCCAAGTTTATATTTGAAGTCATTAAAGCTTTAATGTGAATTTCTGTTGTTGAAGGAGAGCTACCATAATTAAGGTTCATTTCAAGGTGTACATATAAACATTGTCTTAAATATAAATAAAGTTAAAAACTTTGCTAAATAAGGCTCAGCTTAGTGAAACTTCTTACAATATTCTTGGTAATTTCTTTATTTTGTTTGAGGCTTCTTTTTCTTATCTACTCTTTTTCTGATTGATTCGTTAATCGAATTCATATTGAATCTATTTTGACCCTTTTCCTAATGCATTAACACTTTCTTTACCATATTCGTTTTGTTATTTTGCAATTTAAGATTCTTTATAAAATCAGAATCTTTAATATGTCTCCTCTCTGTCTGAAAATATGAAGCTACCTAATAAGCAAAATTGTAATTAATTCTATTTAAATCCTGTGTTAAGAATTAGAAATTGAGGACAGTTCTGTCGATAAAGTCCACTAATTTTATATTTAACTTCTCCAAGTTTCAGAATAGTTTTAGAGGAAGAAGATCTAAAATGTTTACCTCTTCTTGTAAATTTTCTCTAATAATCTCATCTGGTAGTCTTTTACTGATTGATTTAGTAATCTCAATAGGGTCTTTGAAAGTTTTAAATTTCTTTGGTTGGAAGACTGTCTTGGATTGCTTCAAACTTAACTTTTTCACTTGTGATATTTCTAAAACTTCAGGTTATGGTTCAAGACGAAGCTCAAATTTTATTTCTTACCATGCTCCAAGTCAGTATTTTTAGACTCTTCTTTCAATGCAAAATCTTTGTTAGAGAAAGTATTCACATCATTTATTCTGGCTTTGTCTAGAGATTAATGATCCACACAATTCTGTTCTTACCCTTGCTATTTTTCTGAATTTTTGGAAGGGAAAATGTTGGTTTGAGAAGTTTAGCTTCAAATTCGGAAGGATCTAATGTTTAATAAAGGAGTTACCATCCATTGTCATTAACTCTATATCTGCCTTTCCCATTTCAAGGAGGTTTAACCTTTCAGTGAATGGTTCCATCTTTTTGTTTTCCCATTTTTGTAGAATCTCTTCTGGATAAATTCTTTTTATAACAGGGATATATTTAGGAGAATTTGAAATAGAATCTTCTTTTTCTTTAAGACTCTTTTTGCTCTTTTTGCTCTTATGGCTTTTCATGCTACCAAGGCTGTTGTTTAACTCTGAGGCTAATTTGTCAAAACAAATCATTACTATCAATACTATTTCTGTCAATTCTTAACGATGGCATGGAATGAGCTCCTAAAAAGTATTAGCAGGAACTCTTGTTCATCTCAGAGAGTAAGAAAAATTTTATATAAATATAATACCTATCCTCCCTTTTATTGATCCTAAAGCTGACATCTTCTGCTTTTGTAGTATTTTGGTCAGATCGTTTCTGTAGTACCTGGACGGGGATACTTTACTGATGACAGAGTTCACATTCTTCTTCGTGAAAAGATCTTTTAAAGTATACTTTTTGTCACCCTTTAGCGATGAAAGGTTTTCCTTCAAGTTCAATAGTTGCTGGTTTGAGCTGCTATTTCTTTTTATTAGTGTTGATTCATATCCGGATGGAAAGATTGGAGGCACAAAATCAAACACTTTTTGACTTTGTTTATTTGAAAATCTCAGTATCTCTTTTGAATGATGAATTATTAGGAATTTTTCTTTTCATTTGATAATTGTCGTCGAAGTATATCATTGTTCAAGAATCTTTAAACTTTGTCGATCCTTGTTTATTTATGCTTAGGAGAAGCTTTATGATTTTTTTTCTCTACAAAGTAAGGATTATTTGCTCTGATATTGCTGATAACATATATTCTTTTTAGTTCTTTATTTTAAATCACTGACCATGACAGCCTCTTTTTCAAATTTATTCATATGGAAGAATTTGAAGTTTCTCAAAAAGTCATAATATTTGTTATCTTTACATTTGCTGATGGCTTCATCAATATTATCTTGGTCTATCTTTTGGACCAGCAAGTGTGGATATTTTGCTTTGATATCAGCCAAACTTTTATTCACACAGAAATTATTCTCAAAAATAGATTGATTGATATCATCAGCATCAAAAGTAACATCAACTCCTTTAATGACAGAGATATTATTGAGGCTGGTATTTATAGACTGCATTTGAGAATCCTATATTTTATTACCATACAATTCAAAGTCTAACCTTGAAATTTCAAGGTTTTTTGGAAATTCTGATTTCGAAAATTAACATATATTAGGAAAACAAACAAAAGATATATTGAGCAGAAATTTTAACTAAATTTTACCAGGTTCAATTGGTTATCATTAATCTGGGTGCTCTCTTCTGGAAGGTTCTCATCTACAGTTACGGGTTAATCAGTATTGCCATTAAATTTTTTTATAGAATGTTTTACTTTGACAAAAATATATCAAGAGTCCTAAAAACTTAAAACAAAAGAAAAGAAATAGCACTTCTAATAGGCAGGTTTTATTGATATCTTCTATTAGATAAATTAATATGGATTAATAGTAGTACTAAGAGAGATCATATGAAAGTAGTACTTTGGGTTTTCTCTTTTTCCATGCTTCTTTTATTAATATAAATTATATCAATATTATAAAAATAAAACGGGGTTTTGGGGTTTTGGGGTTTTGGGGTTTTGGGG